AAAAGGATTATTTTAGCTACTTTTTCCTCCTAAACACCATGGCAGTGAAGGACGCCCAAAAATTCCCTAATGTAACTTCTGAAACCCATAGAAAAGGATGATTTTAGCTACTTTTTCCTCCTGCTGCTGCTGCTGCTCCTGCTCTTGCTACTCCCTCTGTTCAAAAGGCAGCTCCCGGATGGGAAAACACCATGGCAGTGCAGGACGGAAAAGCATCAAAATTGCGACCAAAAACTTCCTTAAATAACTTCTGAAACCCATGTAACTTCTGAAACCCATAGAACAAGATGATTAGCTTTGATTTTGGCTACTTTTTTCTCCTGCTGCTGCTGCTGCTGCTCTTGCTACTCCTTCTGTTCAAAAGACAGCCCCCGGATGGGAAAACACCATGGCAGTGAAGGACGGACAAGCATCAAAATTGCGACCAAAAACTCCCTAATGTAACTTCTGAAACCCATAGAAAAAGATTATTTTAGCTACTTTTTCCTCCTAATTGCGCCTAAAAAGTCCCTAATGTAACTTCTGAAACCCATAGAAAAGGATGATTTTAGCTACTTTTTCCTATTTTGCCAACCTTTTCCCGTTGTACTGCCTCCGGTGCGGTGCTTTCTGAACCTACAAGAAAAGTAGCCATCTTCTAGCTTTCCAAGCTCAGAAACGGCGCCTCCGCCACGCCCAAACAGTAGGGCCCTAAAGGGCGGACCGGGCCTGCCGGCAACGGCCCCAACGGCCTTCTGAACCTACAACAAAAGTAGCCGTCTTCGAGCTTTCCAAGCTCAGAAACGGCGCCTCCACGCCCAAACAGCAGGGCCCTGAAGGACGGACCGGGCCTGCCGACAACGGCCCCAACTGCCTAACGTTGCTTTCTGAAATTACACGAAAAGTAGCCATCTTCTAGCTTTCCAAGCTCAGAAACGGCGCCTCCGCCACGCCCAAACAGCAGGGCCCTGAAGGACGGAAAAGCATCAAAATTGCGACCAAAAACTCCCTAATGTAACTTCTGAAACCCATAGAAAAGGATGATTTTAGCTACTTTTTCCTCCTGCTGCTGCTGCTGCTGCTCCTGCTCTTGCTACTCCTTCTGTTCAAAAGACAGCTCCCGGATGGGAAAACGCCATGGCAGTGAAGGACGGAAAAGCATCAAAATTGCGACCAAAAACTCCCTAATGTAACTTCTGAAACCCATAGAAAAGGATTATTTTAGCTACTTTTTCCTCCTAAACACCATGGCAGTGAAGGACGGCCAAAAATTCCCTAATGTAACTTCTGAAACCCATAGAAAAGGATGATTTTAGCTACTTTTTCCTCCTGCTGCTGCTGCTGCTGCTGCTCTTGCTACTCCTTCTGTTCAAAAGGCAGCTCCCGGATGGGAAAGCACCATGGCAGTGAAGGACGGAAAAGCATCAAAATTGCGCCCAAAAACTTCCTTAAATAACTTCTGAAACCCATGCAACTTCTGAAACCCATAGAACAAGATGATTAGCTTTGATTTTGGCTACTTTTTTCTCCTGCTGCTGCTGCTGCTCCTGCTCTTGCTACTCCTTCTGTTCAAAAGACAGCCTCCGGATGGGAAAACACAATGGCAGTGAAGGACGGACAAGCATCAAAATTGCGACCAAAAACTCCCTAATGTAACTTCTGAAGCCCATAGAAAAAGATTATTTTAGCTACTTTTTCCTCCTAATTGCGACTAAAAACTCCCTAATGTAACTTCTGAAACCCATAGAAAAGGATGATTTTAGCTACTTTTTCCTATTTTGCCAACCTTTTCCCGTTGTACTGCCTCCGGTGCTGAAAACAGCCCTCCGCCACACCAAAACACCATGGCAGTGAAGGACGGACACGCCACGAAATCGCACCAAAAAAGTGTCTAACGTCCCTTCTGAAACCCTATTAAAAATAGTCTAGTCTAGTCTTTTGCCAATATTCTGATACGGCTGCCTGCTGCCTGCTGCTCCCTGCTGCTGCCTGCATAATAGTAGTAGTAGTAGTAGTAGTAGTAGTAGTAGTAGTAGTGATAGTAGTAGTAGTAGTAGTAGTAGTAGTAGTAGTAGCAGGAGTAGTAGTAGTAGAGGGCCAAATGTCTTCAAATGTCTTTTTCCCTGGCGCGCTCCCCCTTGCGTCTGCCGGGGTCGGCGGATAAAAGCTATAAGCATATTCAAGCCCTACATTTGACATGGCAGCTGGACATGTCAAGTGTCTGATCCGGATCCGGTCTTTGTTGGTCTCAGGTGAGCACAACATGCTTTCGCAACTTGGCTTTGCCAACACGTGCAGTGTATTGCTGATATGGCTTCCAAATGCAACATGTTGAGCACAGGGAACTAGTCACATATAATGATTGATCTTGGTACAGGTTTTAACTATATCTATATACATATATATATATAAATGTATTTCTTTACAGCTGTATTTAAACTCAATCAATATATATATATATGTATATATATGTATATATATATGTATATATGGTTTTCATAAACAGTGGTATTATTATATATGTATCATGGTGTGCTGAGGCAAGGCTTTGATATCTGTGGATGAAGTGGAGCACAACCTGCTCTCAACGCTGGGATTCCTAAAGGCCTTGGAACTCACTATGAGATTGGTCGCCTTTGGATTACTGTATGGTGGAATACCATGCCATAGTTACACCTGGATCAGTTCGGGAACTCATGCAAGATGTGCTTCCCACCCAGATGGTGCACCTTGGCCATTCGTGGTGCAAGGAAGAACCCTTCTTTGCAGATATGTGGTCCTGGCGCTGGTAGCTGTGGCAAGAGGATCGGTGTGTATGGCTGAAAACCCTAGCAGGACCAGCATAGACCTCATGCCTGCAATGCAACTCCTGCTGTCTGAAAGACTACGCCCTCTCATGGTTCGATGGTTAGAGGCTCATTTGGCTGCTGAAGCTTGCATGGTAAATCAATTTAACGCATCATTGTTTTGATTTTCTGTGAAAAATAACTCTGACACTCTGACAACTCAGGGCTATGGGGATGATGAATGCCCTTACAGAAAAACCGCAGCTGGGTCTAGGCAATGCGTCAGGCCTTCAATGGCCCTCACCAACAACATATGTTGAATTCATCCTGTTCAAATGGATTTGAACCACATCAAAGGGGTTTGCAAAAGTGACTCCAAATTTTTTTGACTCTGAAAATTGGGGACATATCGGATTCAGCTTGAAAAGGCCTTATTTGCCTTCTATTCTGACAGATTTCCAAAATATTGCTTCAATGATATTTAATCTTTGTACTTTAGCTTTTTATTACTTCATAGCTTACGGGAATTTAGCTACAGACGCCGCGGGCGCACGACGAGGGGGCAACCACACAAGGGACTTTTAGATACCCCCCACCAACCCAGAACACAAACAACCCGAGAACCCATTAAATGAATCATCACACATCATCACAAATAACAGCTTCAACAACAACAAGAACAAGAACAAGAACAAGAACAACGACAACGACAACGACAACAACAACAACAACGACCACAACAACAACAACAACAACAACCAGGCCCAAACCAGGCGTTTCCACGCAGTCGTTGACGAAGTCCTGGAATCAAAATCAGAATCAGATTCGACACAGATTTTTTCATCAAATTCAGACTCACAGATTCCGACTGCTCAAAGTCAAGTTTGCAGTAAGTCGCTAGCAACATCATTTTCTCACACGGAGAGGTCAAATTTGCAACCAGTCGCCCAGGCTGCATCTGTACAACATTATTGCGGCTCCGTAAGATCTCACAGATCTTCAGACTCATCCGTGTCGCTCTGAAGGCATACGATCTTGAAGCCCTTCTGCTTCAGCACGACATGGTCATCGTCACCTGGAAGTCACTCGCAAAAATGATCATCATGGATATTGTGAGTGTGATTGAGTGTGACTGATCTATATATGAATTTGACTTCACCAGGCCAGCATCACACCTAGGTATCAAGAAGGCCTGGCCTAAGGCGAACATAGGGCCCTCCACCCAGGGAGTGACGAAGTGCATCTTTCCAAAGATTGGAGCTGTCGCTGTATAGCCGACGTCCTGCCCAGAACCCCTGTCACGAAAGGCAACCAATGTATGCCATCATGCCGTTCAAATTTCAACCATTATCACATCAAGCTTCGGTCCTCCACCTTCATGCCATTTAAAAACTCCACCGCATCTTCAGGAATGTCACTGATGCTCAAAGCGGTCTTGATCTTCTTATCGACATACTCCTGCGATTTCTCCCAAAAATACCTGAATGGTAAATGAGCGATGCCAAAAATTGCGGGTGAAGTCGTTTACACCAAAGCCACCACACACTGGAAAGCATATTCCTTTGGAAATCAAACATGAGGCTCAATCATACCCAAGGTACAAGAGGGTGGGGCAATCACCAATGTCGTCCAAGGGCACTTTCTTGCCATCATTTCCCAAACTCAGGTGCGCACAATGGAAATGTTTCACAAATCAGGTCAATTTCAACGAAGGTTCTCAAGCCAAGCAACTCTTCGGCAGAGGTGAGGCGATCTCGCTTGGACAAAGTAACCACCATGCCTTCCAACCTTAAGAAAGGTGGCTTTACTTATCCCCATCAGAGTCGCTAAACAAGATTCAACTTTGAGTCATGTCATTGGTCAAAAACCACTGACTGAGCAAAACACAAAATCTAAGATGTGCGCGTTTCGAACTTGCGCATGCATGACATGTGGTCCAGCTGGCGCACCAAAAGCTCCAACATAAACGATTCAGCAGCTGCAAAAGGGTCGGGGACTGGGTCAGCCATGGCTTGGCCTCAAAATTTTCTGACAATTAGTATTCGAAACAAAGCCCTCAAGGTGGTCAATGCTTCAACTGTTGGCAGGAGCAATCCGGAAGCAGTTTTTAACCATAGCGCCCGTTCCAACCGAACATGAGCTATTTGACCAACTAGCCTATTCGCGAGGCTTCGCTGAAAACAACAAGTTCCAACCAGCATGTGCAGGAACTGCATGTTTCCACAATCCCGCCAATCACTGCATCAAGCGATGCGTGCGAAACAAATTTCCTCTCTTCGTTGAAGAAAGGCTCAACCCTGTCATGTCAACTCCGTGCAAGCCCATGAGCTGATCATAGACAGCAAAAGGGATCAGCACAGACCCCTGGTTTCCCTCATCACTGGGCTCAGGCTCAAAATCCCACACAAGAATCTTCGCAGCCGGCTGCATCACGGATGGAAGCACTTCCGTTTCGTTCAAAGATATTTCATCAGCCGGTACCCAACTCCCAAAGATGTCGAGCACTTTCTTCTTGCGGCCGGCTTTGAAGTTCATCTCTGGCGTGCGAAGTGGATGATACCACCCAAACCTGGTCTTGTTTGCTTTGTGTTGAATGGTACAACTGTGAAACAAAACTTGCAACTTACAAGCGTTACAAGAAGCCACTCAGCCAAGACACAAGCCCTGCTCCTCACCATTGTACTGCACCAGCTCCATCACAACTCCCAGAACTATGGGCAGCCGATCTTTGCCCGCCACCACACAAAAGTTTCCAGGCTGGATGTAGGCCTTTTTGGCAGGCTCACGGTTCTCTGGCAATCCCGTTACACTGACAAGAGAATCCTGTGGCAAATGCCCAATGTCTGCGCCCATGGAAATGGAGTAGTAGATGTCCTCAGGGATTGCCATGCTCTCTGCATCACGGCTGACCAGCTGACATGGCCCCAAATGCGCGCATTTCAAATCGGCCAACATTCGTTCCTCAGTGATTCTAATCGGAGACCGGTCATTCGATGTCAGACTCACGGCCCAAGACTCAAGACAGTACTAAACAAGAAACTCATCTCAATCAAACTCAGTGTGCGGTAAATCATTCAAATGGTCAATTGCGGACCAAGTTGCCAGAGATGGGCTGGCATCCAATCCATCCACATTTGATCGCAACTTGGCCAGTTGCTCTTGCGGGGACTGGCCAGATGCAGCCAACGTGGATTCCTTAGCATCGGCAAACGGCAGCATATTAGTTTATATAGTGCAGGGATTTGCTGTCACAACCTCTATGGAGCCAACGATGAAAAGTCAGGCCAAGGCTCAAGCCTGTTCAAGAAGTGCAGATGCTTGCCTTTCTCCAACTCACCGAACTCATGAGCCACCAAGGGAGGCTTTGCAGCTGCGAATACATCAAGGCGATCAAACTCAGCCACCAAACGCGGCTGGCACCAAGTTTCATTCGAAACATACTGCTTCCACTTCACCCACAAACCTGATGAGTCAACATAGAGTCGCAATGCGTGCACATTCCGGTATCTGTGAACCTCAATGCCAAAGAGCCTTCTGAGATGAGCAAAATTGTAGGTGGATCCGTGGTGAGACCAGTTGACCCTGACGGCCTTGAGACATGAAGTCGATATGTCCGCCATCTCCTCCATTGTGTAGTACGTTCTGCCTCGTAAGGCAGTGATCAAACGTGAAAAGAACCGGTCGAGCGATCCGTGGGTGTGCCCGACAAGCGGGTACTGGAAACTCAATGGCCGACAGCGCAGTGTCTCGAAGACTTGCCAACAAGAAAATGGCCCAACAAATCACAGTTGTATTCTTCGTCTCTTTTGGAGTGTTGTCCGCTCCAATGTACAAACAGTTTGGAAGTCGGCCTTCTTTGGCAGCTGTCCTGTGAATCTGCCTTGTCAACATGGTTGCCTGCGAATCGGTGCCATGGGATGCATTTTCCAGTGTCGTCGTCAAACAAAATTCATCCTCGCCTCAGATGAAGAACACATACACAATAAACGGCCACGCTTTCACATGCTGCTGCAACCATCATGCATCCACGCTGCATTTGGGGCCAGCAAAATGAACGCCCACCACCCCAACAACAAAGCAGCCATCCCCCTTGAACAGTTGCGTGGCCAGCCTTGGCTGGAGCGAGCACGAAAACGAATGAAAACGAATGACAAATGAAAACGAATGAAGGCAACAACTCACTGCGATCATGTTTTTAAGTGAATTTACAAATATTTTCAGTTGCGAAGCAGATCATGGACACAAGGCAACATTGTCTTGTTCTGGTCGCACTTGTCGATGGACAGATACCTGAGACACCCTCATTGAAATTCATTTTGGAAAGTATGGTGAAGGTGCTGAGTTTGTGCGGAGTTTGACTCTGGGTGCTGAGTTTGGCGCCATTCGTCACCAGTCCGTCGACACATCTCTTGACAGCGTGCAATGCTCAGCCTTTGGGCTGCCTGGAATGCATAGTGCCTTCCTGGAAAGAAGCGGTGAGCATTCGATAAGTGGGGTTTGCGCTGAGTTTGACTCTGAGTATGATTTTCAGTACCATGTCATACAATGTCTGTCCTAAGCGTTTCCGAATCGCAGCCACGATCTGGGTTTCACTGCGAGGGGTCTTGTCAAGAAGGTTCTTCAGGAACGTGCAAGCAGAGCAGGCAGTGAACATGGATTCCTTTGCCGCACAAATCGGCTCATTACATCCGATCACATCTCAAGCAAAACAAGTTAATCAAAAATCAGCAGCCAAGAATCCGATTTGGCAATCCTAATCCAAGGAAGCTCATTTCTCCTTGTTCTTTGAAGCCCAGTCACAGGCCAACTTCCTTGCGTCTTGGCAGCGCTTTTGTTCATTCATTTTTTCCAAATTGGCCGCACATTTTGTTCGATGGCGCTCTCTGTGAAGGATTGCACGCAGCAATTGCCAGTCGTTTTCCCATCCTTCAAGAAGTAGTTGTACTCAAGCCTTGCTTTCTCCGACAGCTCCTTTGGACACCACAATCCTCCTCTCCCAGCACCTTGCGGATGGTCGGCGATCTCGTCCGCAAACCTTTGAAGGTGTTCGATGTCAAAGAGCGGTCGCCACATGTTACCACATGGCGCAGCGCACTCCGATAGAGCTTCTGGTTTCAAGGTGCTGTCGTCCATGTTGCAGTGCTGTATGTCCATCAATGGCTGTCTTGTCTACCACAAAGCTCTGCATCTAGCTAAAGCTCCATGTTGCAGTGCTGTGCCCACCAATGGCTGTCTTGTCTACCACTCAAGCCAACACTTTGCTTTCGTTTACATGAGCAAGCTTGGTTTGCAAACTTGGCCCCAATTGTAACTACTAGTAAATATCCAGTTTTCGCCGTCAAGACGTCACAATGCTCCGAGTCTTTTTTACACACGTGCAAGTTCTTCATCACATCTCCTATTTCAGGATGGCACAAACAAAGCTTTCGAATCACCAGTCAGTGTGTGGCATGGAGACATTGTTCATTCAACAAGGTCTCAATGCGGCGTACTGCGATTTCACTGTACTTTTGAAGGATGTCGGTCAACCTTGGGCGAAGAGGTTTCAAACAACATCCAGCCAAGGGCCTCCTACAAAAGGGATTCTCACGTTCCCAAAAAATACATGTACAGACATGATGCTGATGGATGCAGCATACTCAACATTTCAAAATGCAAGCGCAGCTGCAATCCAGATAAAGTTGCAATCAATGCACCCCGCGTCATCAAAGCAGACTCCTTAGTTGCAAAGTTGCAAAACACCGATGGCACGAACAGTTCCTTTCCATGGTCTGAGTGAAAGAGGTGGCCTCGCTATATACACATCAAATCATCCAAGGATCTTCAATGCCAGTGACTTTATTCATCATCATAATATCCGATGACTGGCTGACATGGGCAGGACTTTGTGAGTTTGAGACTATTTGGCTGCACAATGCATTTGATGCGTGGCAGTTTTTCAAGCCAAAAGCAGGATGAATTTGAAGATTTCCTTCTTCGTGACAATGACTGATTTTGACCCATGAGACTGAGAATGACATAGAATGACTACCATTGTGTATTTGGCTGCTATTTGACACTGAGACTGAATCAAATCAATTTGAATCGGAGTGTGACTCTGATCTCAAATTGAATCTGAGTGTGACACTGATCTCAAATTGAATCTGAGTGTGACACTGATCTCAAGACGGCTTTAGCGTGAAATTGCTTGAATTTGCAAAGTGCACTGACAGTCCTTCGCTGGCACCATCGTGAGCGCCCGGGGTTATCCAGCAATCCACTGGCCTCAGGAGTGCTTTCAACACAATTCCCAAAGAGTGATCTATCTCGATCAATGCAATCTTTCACAAGAAAACATCGCTCACTGAAGATAATTCATCAGGCAGGCATCACTTACAAGATTTCATAAGAGAACGCTGCCATCCATGCGCCGCCTGATTTTACGCCCGCATCCATCACACCAACCATTTCTTGAACATCGGAACCAAGACTCTCTTTTGGGAGTGTTAGTCCTGGAATCGGAGCGCTGCTTCATAACAACTCTCTGCATCACAACGTAGCCTTCCCCACTTTCCTCAGCCAGAAAGAACAAAGTCAAGAAGGCTACTGCGATGGGAAACCAATGGCGCAGGTTTTGCCAACGCTTTGACTTTCAGCCAAGATGCGCAGTTCAGCTTGGTGTTCTCTGTCACCAGCTTTGACAAGCCCTTCAGACTAATCTCAGAGTTTTCCTCATCTTCCAAAGTCTTTTTGACCTCAGAATGCTACGGGAAGACCCAAATTGTCTCAAGGGAAAGTTCAAATCGGTTGTCTAAGACCTTTGAAGACAGGTTAGAACTTTATAGAAATCAAGCGATGCCAGTAAAAAAGACAACTTGTGCAAGTAAGCCACCTCTCTTTTGATCAACTTGCGCTCGCTTTCCGTCAGAAGATCTAAAGCCGTCAGAAACAAAGTGACAGACGTTCGATCAAAAAGCTGCGCGGAATTTGAAACTGAATGTGAATGCAATGGTTGTGAAAATAAAACGGACCCCAGTGAAATCTGAGTGAAAGTGAGTCTCTGAAACTTGCTAAGGCTGAATAGTGACGTGATATCCTCAAAAACACTGCAGCAGCTGCAAGAATGTTTTCCCCTATCCGATCAGATCCAGGCTCTTGTGGTCAAACTCCAGCGCACATCATGTGCCAAATCAAATATCGCAGAGTAAGATGCTCTGCATCAAAATGGCGAATCAATGTCTGACATTGATTCATTCTGACCCATGACGCTATGGCTTTCAAGAAGCCGCTTCACATCGAAACATTTCCAAAGGCACCCAGCAAACTCCTCCCTGGTCCTCCATTGGAACTTGCAGCACCAGCATTCGGAGTTGGGCCTGGGCTGCTTCCATTGGCGCTTGCGCTGACACCGGCACCAGCATTCGGAGTTGGGGGTGGGCTGCTTCGATTGGACGGGGACGCCATTGACTTGGGCGCTGGGCTCGGGCCACCACGTCCTTTCTTCTGTTCCCACTGCTGCAACTGTGGACCAGCTTCTTCTCCTTCAACCATTGGGTCACGTTCTTCTGGACATATTTTTGATGGCTTTTGGAACTGCAAATTGCGACCACCCTGGCACCACCAAGCAAGCCACCAAGGACAGACAGCCCGCTGCTAATCCCCGCAGCAACCAAAACTCCTGCTGAGAAGACGTGCAAGATCTCCTGGGTCAACACCTGGTGGGCCTCATGCGGAAAAGGAATGCACTCGTCTTCACCCACCATGTCCGTGGCAATCATCTCACCCTCTTCTCCAATCTCCTTCAAACTCAAAATTAAATCAAAATCGAAATCCCACAAGAAACGGCATCAAAATCAAAATCACACAAGAAACAACGGCAAATCAAAATCGAAATCAAACTCACACAAGGAACAACGCAAGACTCGTATAGAAGCCTAATGAAAAAACCAGACTCAGCATGCAGAAGCACTCCTCGTGCAGCCGGTCCGTGGTGGTGTCGTCTCTGAACATGAGGTCATACTCAGCCACCTTGCAGACCTTCAAGTTGCCAATTGGGATGAGGGGCACAGGCCACCGATTGAAGAACGTATCGATTGCCTTCAAATGCTTCATGGTCGACGCCGCGGTTGCGAAGCCCTTGTGCGAGGCCAAAGCCAGCCTGTCCTCCACGTGCGCTCCTTACTGGGGACATGACTGCGTCACAAACCAGTAAGACACCGAATGCTGTCTTTGGAAATCGATCCACAACTGTTCCAACTGCAAAGTAACATCCCACCACGTCTATACCGTCTATACTATAATTACCCAAGAAAGGTTCAAAGGCAACACCATTTTAGTCATCAACTTTAGCCAAAGATTCCAAAAGCTCGCTTTCCGCGCCTGATCCTGGACAGCAAGTCTGTTTGCTCTGGGTCAAGCGTGATGATCGCGCTGGCTGCCTTCTTGGGGATCTTGGTGCGGATGATGTCGAGGGCAGACTTCGTTTTCAAATTGTCCACCTTGCACATGATGCAGAGGCAACTTTTGTCCTTCATCTCTGGCGTGGAGGTTTGCTGGATCGTTCCCACATCTCCATCAGGTTCTCGATCCTTTGGCTTGAGGCTCCCAGGCCCACACCCGTGAATACATTCACGCGGCGTTTTTTGACCTCTTCGAAGTCGATCATGCCATCATTTTGCGCTTCATACAGCAGCACCTTCGGCGCAGAAGCTTCCCGAAGCAAAGGGAGCCGCTCAAGTCTTCCGTCCGTACCATTCTGCCAAATCAGCCACTCCACTCTGGCATCCATGTACCTCAAAGCGTAAAGCGGCAATGTTCATGACAAAACTTCATTACGATCGCAAGTCGAAAGTCATAAAATCACAGTACGTAGGATTAAATTTCAAATGTTTTTTTGAAATGATCAATCAAGCCAAATTGCTCTTGGATCACTCGAGCCTCGTGCTGGGTCGCTTGAATGTTAAACCTGCTCAGTTCCTCAAGGTAGTGGGCATCAGACTCGATCTCCGCAGTCGTTGTCACCTCCAAGAACTCATGTCTCACCATCGACTGCTTCTGGGTGACAGGAGGCTCAGGAGGAAAGTCTGTCCTTAGCCGACATGCACACGGCCATCCTCTCATTGTCAACTATTGGTTTTGTGGATGTGTTCAATCATTGGCAATGGGTTTTGTGGATGTTTTCAATCATTGGCAATGAATTTGTTCTGAACGACTGGTCATGTTGAATGTGAATATGAATATCACAAAATTCAGCCTTAGCGTCGCATGCTTCTCACGGCAGGCTTCCACCTGCTTCTGCAAGGCATCGTCCTTGGTCAGGTTGAGGGACTTCCCAGGCACAGATTCCTTCCTTGGTTGGGCACAACAGCAAACCCATACTGACTTTGAAGTCTCAGAGTCACTCAAACTCACCCGAACGATCCGACACCTAATTCCCACACGACTTATGACCAATGTAATCTTGCACAAGGAGAGCTCGAAATGCCCCTTGGCCAACTTTGTGCAAAACCTTATCACGGGACCTTTGGAAGCAAAAGCTGACACTTCGACCTTCATGTCACCGTCATCTTCAGGCTGCTCTACACATCCTTCAGCTTCCTGCTGGCTCCCAATGAACTGTTTGTACCAAGAAGCTTCCATGAAGCTGAGGATCTCAGACTCAAATCTTTTGAACAATCCGGCCAGGTGCTTGAACAGGTCCCTCCTGATCAACATGGACTTGAGACGCACTGCTATGTCAAAGTTACCCTTGCAATGTCTCATTGGAACCACGGACCCTTTTCGGCGGAATCCACATCTTTGCTCCACCCCCACGATGTTCACCTGCACAGTGACACAGCGCGGCAGCCAGAAATTGAAGTTGAAGCACGAATCAATATCAAAGTCTTCACGTTTTCAGCGCAAGGATTGAAATCCAATTCTGCACTAAAAATCAGCCAAGTTACAACAAAGACAGCGTCGGTCTCCTCTAAGTTGAGACCAACCAAGGATCGCAAGGCTGTGATTCCATCAAGAGCCGAATCACGCCCCAGCTCAAACTCCAGCTGCAAGATTGTCTGGACCAACTGCGGCTGCGACTCTAACTTCCGAGCAACCGCCACGTAGCGCTTCACTGTATCGGCAGACCAATCTTCACAAGTCAGCACTTTGCGGCGACATCCTCCACTTTGTCACCCAAAGACTGGGTGAGCTCCAGGAGAACCAAACACTTGGCCCGGGCAGACATTCCTAGCACGTTCCTCTTTTTCTCTTCTTCTTCGTAATCACCTGAAGCAATTTTTAGACAATGCGCCAAGCAGCCAGCCAGTTGGTCCGTCACATTTCATACTTTCAACTAATGTTCACATGGATGATGTGATCAGAATTCCATACCAGCTCAGCTAAGTTGCTGAACTTCTTGAGCAAGAAGTCCGCACCAGTCCCTTGAGGAGACAGGCAAAACACCACGTCAGTCAAGGAGTCAGCGAGCCAGTAGATGATGTGCTCTTCGTCTTTCAGCCAATAGCACGGCAGGCATGCAGCCGCCACCCTTAGCTCCAGCCATGATGAATCAGAGGCACTCATGGCACGAAAACTCATTCAGGCCAGCTCAAATTCAGACATTGACTTCAAACTCAGACGCATCATCAGGAACAAATCAAAGGCAGAATTCAAAGTCAGACTCAGACTCAGGTCAGCTTCAATTTCAGAATCAAAGTTCAAACTCAGCGCAAGTTGATGATTGACATTTTGGTTGAAGTGTTCAACTGATGCTATGTGATTGGCTCGGAATCTGAAGATGATCGGAGCATGTCCTTGTACTCATCTGTGGTCCAAACTGCATTGTCCGCATTGATCTCAATTGTCCGCAGAATTCCTGGCAGCGTGGACAGAAGTTACTCAATTGTAATGACTGATGATGCAATCGATGACAGCTAAAGAATCCGATATGAAATTGAGGGCCTGACGATTCAAATCGATCGGCTTCTTGTTCCACTGAAGCATTGCCAGCTCAATCCTCTTTGGATTCACCGCGACGCAAGCTCTACTTGAGAGCTTCAGGTATCCCAAGCTCCCGCCGACTGTCATTTTACCAGTCTTGCCCTTGACATCGGCAACTGGTCTGGTGGGACAGCCTTCTCCTTTGGCATGTTTCCTGACAACGTCTCAACAATTCCAAATGTTTTGATATTCTGTGCGATAATTTATCGAAACAGCCAGTGCATTCAAGTGGCCCATCCAAATTGGTTTGCGTGAAACTGAAAGCATGCTCCAGCTCTTCCATCAAAAGGCCGGAGCGCACCACATCACAGAAGTGCTTCTGGATGTCGATCTCGACCAAGGAATCCTTGGCTGCTTTCCTGGCAGCAGCAAAGAGACGCCGCTTCTCAGCTTCTTCGGGCACAGCCGCCATGATCACCAGCAAACTGACGGGCTTGAAGCCAAAAAAATCTCAAGCCAATGACTCTGATGAGCATGGGGGATGGAGATGCTCCACCTTCTACGCCCAGTCGAACCCAGGTACGGCCGTACAACATCCTATGATGCAATTTGTGTCGGGTGATTGACGGGGGCCAGCTTCATCATAGGATGTTGTACGGCCGAACCTGGGTACGACCGTACATGGGGGATGGAGGTCCTCCACCTTTCTTGCACATTAGAGTCATGTAAATAGATTTAAGTCAAAATTTTGACTGACGGGGGATTAGAAGTGAACGTGGGTTCAAATGACGGGGATCTATGGTGGACATCGATTATACTTGAACGTAGGTACGAACGACGTGTGGATTGCAAACCCCACCATCTCGAACGTGGGTTCCATTGACGTGCATCATATGGAATTAGGGTGACAACTATTGAACGATGGTCTGCATGATCCAAATACTAGGATTTTGCTTCAATCTCATTGGCTTTACATTGGGTTCCCCAACCAGATAGATTTTTTTTTGTTCCGGCACGGGGCCGCACGATGATTGATTGATTTCCTTGACGAAGATTAGCAGTCAAATCTTTTGTTTCAGACGACTCTGATTTTGAGACTCATTGGTTTGAAATATTTTGATTCTGATAAAAGAAGTTGAATCTTGAGTGTAATACCTGATTTTGAACGTGGTATGAGACCACATGCCGGTGCTGACCACAAAACTTCAAATCTATGGCATCAGAATGTGACCCTGATAATAAGACATGCACACTGAACATGAGATTGATCTGAGTCTGATGATTTCAGAATCTGCCCTATACCCAAACTCTGTTTCCTTATGTTTCCTTCTGCAAAGGTCCAAACTTCGAAGCTCAGTTGGCCCCATTTTGCATTGATCCAAAGATCAAACATGGGCTCAAATCAAGCCACTTCTCACCAAGACTCCAATGCCAACCGCTTGTCCAACGCATGCCACATGCATCCCATTTCCGATCATCTTCTGCACAGCTGGCCCGGTTTGCCCTGTGAAATCTGCAGACGGGGGCAAGCCCATCCTTTGCGTGACAAGGATCTTAAATGAGTCAATGTTCCCCAATCTTTTCTCGCAGACAAAGTGAGTTGAAAAAGAAAGACACTGAATGAACACTGTCTCATCAAAGATCACAAAAGATAGAGTGGTTACTCACAATCAATTTCAACACACCAAGCATCAGTGTTGCAAGTTCTGGTAGCTCAAGGTCCCGGCCCAAGCTCATGGAGTAGGTCGAAGACCGTGTCGCAAGAGTGGGAACTGAGCCGTCTTCACGGAATTGACAGCGGCTGCAAGGTGCTCTGGCAATACCAGTAACAATCAAATTCAGAAACGCTCACAAATCAAACGCTGCAATCAAATCAAATTCACAAATCAAACACTGCAATCAAATCAAATTCACAAATCAAACACTGCAATCAATCAAATTCAGAAACTTAAATCTGTCACAAATCAACACTGCAATCAATCAAATTCAGAAACTCAAATCAAATTCACAAATCTGCAATCAATCAAATTCGGTAAACTTAAATCAGACTAGCGGCTTGGTGGACTGCGATTTGTCAATCACGACTCTGCTGGTCCGCAATGGGCTGCAATTGTAGCTCAGAATGTTCAGCATGTTGCGTTCTCGGGCCGAACTGGTTTGCTTGATCCCGGCAGATTCAAAAAGCCTTGGCTCCAAACCATTTCCAACTTCAAGCCTCACAGGATCAATTGCTACAGTAGTTTTTATAATTTGAAAAATTGTTCTTCCAACCAGTGATTGGGATACTTTCGTAAAGCCAAGCATCTCCACAAAGGTGATTTTTCCAGACTCTTCTTCAAGGACGATGTTCTTCAACTCACCTTTGAAAATGAACGTCAGGCAATGGTGTGCCAAGAACTGTGACTGTGTCCATGAAGCTTACAAACTGCAAGTGCCGCCCGGTGGCTGTGATTCTTCAGAAATTCTGCGTGGGCCTGTCGCCAGCTGCATGTCAGATCCCCTTTGCATCCTTGGTGTTTTCACAAATCTCAATCACATTGCGTGATGCTGACCGCATGCAGTTTTGATAAGTAATAACTGAGCCGGATCTCCGCAGTTGCATTTGTGCACTTGGCACACTTGGAAAGGATTCACTTCGCACCCACAACGTTCAAGACGCATCATTTCCTTTTATCAGGGCGAGTGGGGGAAGTCAGCTTTTGAATAATATCACAATTAAAATAATTGCACACGGTTGAAGGGATATTTGCAACAAAAATGCGTCATGGTTTGGAAGGGCATGCAGGCGTTCCCAAGGAACAATTGGACGTTTGAGGCCCAGGAAATCAAAATAGTCAGATGCTGCTGATACTGATGACCTCGTCCTGATTTCCTGACACTTTGCAGCAAAGTCTTCAGAAACGCCCTCACCTCGAAGAATTCCCACAGCCTCGGATTGGGCTCAAAAAAAATCAAAAAAAACAGTGGCTCTGGAAACATAATAATTGGAACTTGCAAGCGTTTATTTTAAACTGATCTCAGCCTAGAAACGTACCACCTTGGTCGCATCATCCGATACCCATGGGAAAGAGGGGTTTGGTTGCGCAAAATGGATATCATGTAAGAGGCCGCAAGTTTCTTATTGATGTACTCCAACGCTTTGTCAAGGTCGTTCTTTGGATTGCCTGGCTCAGCCGCAGGCCCAGAGCTGCGGTTTGTCATGCCTTCTACCTGAGCTTGAGCGGTCATCCGTGGATTGCAGGACTCCGGTCAGCAAGATAATAGTCTCAACGATGACAGACACGTGATTCAAAACTATATACTTCAGCAAAAGCGCACATTCCAACACAAAGACCATCGGCTGTACTCGATGGATGGTTTCGATTCCAACGAAGAATGGCGCTGCGTTAGATTAATTAGATTAACTAGGTTAATTATATTAGTTAAATTAATTAAATTAACTTAATTAATTAAATTTATCAAATTAATGAAATTAATTAGATTAATTAAATGAATTAAATTAACTAAATGAATGAAATTAAAAAGATTAATGAAATGACTTAAATTAATTAAATTAATTAAATTCATAAAATTACTTAAATTACTTATTGCTTAAATTACTTAAATTCATGAATTAAACTAATTCAATTAAATCAATTAAGTTCATTAAATTAATTTAATTAACTAGTTAAATTAATTAAATGAAATAATTAAATTGAATTAATTAGATTAATTAGATTAACTAGATTACTTACCTTTATTTAAGATAGTCAAATAGTCAAATTCTCCTAATTGCAAAGCATATTAATGCAAGAACGTGGGGGCATTGTGGCTCCAGCTGTGTTGGATTGAAGTACCTTCCAAAAGTACGCTATCTACTGGTCCAAAGTGGTCGCCCAACCTTAATTGATTGACGCATACTAGAAGAACATGATGGGCATATAAATTGGAGAGGCACTCTTTTACCATTTTGGGAATCCAATTCTGAAGTTGCTTCCCCCTTTTCTGAAGCAAATAATCAAATGGTGAGGAATTTACAGGTTGCCACCACTTTTGTACATATGTATAAATATAAATATATTGTATACATGAGACAGTGCAGGACCCTATTGTTAACCCAACGCTGTGCAAAAGGGCTGATTGAAATTGTTGCCTTCAAACGGCTAACTTGAAGATTTTTTGACCTATGATATTGACAGACCAGCAACCGAATGAATAAACTCAAACACTACGATTCCGCATATAAGTAACATGTGTGACTGTTTTGACCAAATCAAGAAATCAGCCTATACCTTGGGGTCTTCTTCTTTACTGGTCATTGTTCTGGAGTATACGCAGGCCAGTACGGTCAATACAAAAGCCAAACCACCAAATATGATAAACCCCAACATTGAATTTGCGCGTTTATAGTCAAAAACGGCGATGTGGCCAAACTCTCAGCATCATGACTTTCTACTGGGCAGCATTTGATTAAAGCACCTAGCCGCGGTCATTGGCAAATCCACAAATAGAGCGCCTGCTCCTAATATCTAATTTTGCATGAATTTATATTATATGATTTCATCATCAAACTCACAACTTGCAACAACAGGCCTGCATCAATCCACATTCGCATAATTAGATAGCGGGGGGATGAAGGAACCCCATGGACAATTTTGAAAAAAAGTAGTGACATGCAATGATTTCATGGAATGGCCAGCGACTAATCTGTCGATGCTTTGTCCTCATCTTGGCCATGCGTGTATGGAATGAGTGGGTAGCAGCATGCCATCTAATGTTTTTTGTTGATATCAATGTCAAACTCGAATTAAACTAGATTGTATGGGCATCGCATGAAGATTCATCACAATAATACTCTAAGCACATATGTATATTATATATATATACGTATGAACAATTTCCCGCTTCGTCATTGAAACCTTCAGAAGGGGTTTCATTAAAAAAGAAAAGTTTCAAAGACAAAAGGTGAACAAATAACATTTTAATGTATTTTGGCTAAGTGCATTTTAGATAATCACCGCTGTAAGCATGGGGCCTGGCAGTCCCCATACATACAGCACTCCGTAGCGCTACCGAACGCTGGGTCCCTTACATGACCGTTCTATGGGGCGATTTATTTTGATCGTTTTAGAACTGAATGATTTTTTCAACTTGCATTTAAGATAGTCAAGGAGAGGCATACAGAGGTCCGTAGCGCTACCGAAGGTTGTGTGGACGGGCACTGGGAGACCCCATCCTTAGGACAGTGATTATCTTAAATGCACTTCACCAAATTTTGACAAAATTGTTTTTGTTCAACTTTTTGTTTGGAGCCAAACTTTGACATGTCTTGAAAGTCTCTAGACTTTAGTTTGTCACACTGCTGTGAGAACCACATATTTTGTATCTGGACTTGGGTCCATAGCCAAGACAAGTGCGATTCTAACATTTTGAAGAATATTGCCTCCATTGAACTCGCGGGTGTGGGATATAGCAGGGAAATCAGGGAAGGCC